CTAGCTGTTGCTTCAGAAAGCACACTGGCAACAACCCCCCTTGCATGGGGGCAGGGTGGGAGAGAGGGTCTCAGCTTCAGCAGCTGGAGCACCCCTGTGGTCGGGTTGTCCCTCGTGTGGGGACAGAGATGTGCTTTAGGGTCTCTGCGTGTGTTCTCGCTAAAAGTTTACACCGCAAATCAGAGTGGGGCAGTTGGCCTAAGTCTGACCCCCACGGGGTCTTTGTGGAAGCAGGCCTGGCTACCTCTGTAACACTGAGGAAATCAAAGAGGCTGGCCACACCAGTTTCCACCTGACCACAGAGGAGCTAGTTAAACGTGCCCTGCAATTTCGCTCTCTGCTGCTGCTGCCACATCTTGGGCCCTCTTCCTGGGGCACCCCACCCACTTGCTGGTCATGTCCCACCCTGCACCTAAGGCAGAGCTAAGCCAACCCCCCAGGCCTGCCTGCTCCCAGAGAAGCCTCCTGAGACAGGGTTGGCGGCCCCTAGCCGCTCAGCCTGCACCCTGGTCCAGGGGCCCACCAGCATCGCCCCCACAGAGGCTGGCCACATGCGATCTCAGCGTCCCAATCTGTAGAATGGGAATCCCGTCTCCAGGGGGTTTGAGAGTGCACTGCAGGTGCAGCACCAGGAAGGGACAGCAGTCACAGGGCAAACGGTTCAGTCATCTCCGGTGGGCGATGGGGAGGGGAAGGGACTTACAAAGGCCGCACATTAGGGATGTAGCCAAGCTGGAACTGGACACCTGGGTCTCTTGGTGGCCAGTATTTTTATGTGGGTGGGAGATGGGGACCCAGGGAAGCATGTCAGAAGCCTGTGGGTGGGTGTACCAGGGCAAGCCAGATACGGGTTTGATTTGGGTTGTGGCTCTCCCCCCACCCTTCTGGACCAGTGCAGCGATCTCCTTCACCTTGAGCAAGTAAACTGTCACATTTCCTGCTGTGTCCCTACATCAGCCAGGGGCTCTGGCACAGAACAGAGCCTCAGGAAATCTTTACAAGACAGTCAAGGATTCGCTGATCAGGGTCAAAGCTGACCATTGAGGGGCCCCGCCGCGTATATTCCCAGGTAGTTCTGGAAAAGTCAAAGAAACCAACAGGACTATTAGACTCCAGATGACACCCTCAAGGTTGGCTTCGTGGAAGATGGGGCTTTCTACTTCCAGTCTCGGAAACTAAGGGGTATGGTTCAACCCTGCCCTCAGGTTCGCTGAGTAGGCATCAACTAGAAGCTGCCTTGGTGAGCACTCGGGGTGGGGTGTGGCACGCTGAGTCTGGGATCTGAAGGGGGACAAGACATGCTCTCCACTCCCTCCTGTCACCCACAAGAGCATCTCCCAAATGTGCTGGCCTCTTGCCTCTGCTATGGGCTGGCCGAGGGAGGGGGCAGTTCATACCCCCAACGGCCCCAAACTGGCCTCTTATCCAGGACTTTGTAGGTGAGGCTACCCGGCGTGCCCCATTCATGGGGTGTCCTGAGGAGATGGCAGCAGTCAGTTCAGGCTCATGCCAGCCCAAAGGCCCTTTGTCCGCCTGCACCCACACCAGAACTTTCCCTGCCAGGCCTGCCTGCTGCAGACGGGGACAGGTCCACCCCTCCTGAAATTCCAGTCCAGCTGGTCACCCAGGCTCAGCAGTGGTGGCAGGTGGGGCTCCGACTCCCCACCCTCTTATTTGGCTCTTGCCCTGTTCCTGCAAACCCACCCCCCACCCCCTGGCCAGTTCCAATCTGGATGTGTCTGACCAGTGTTGGAGGAGCTGTTGACGGTTTGGGAGCCAAACTCAAACCTCTGTGGATTGGACCCAAGGTCTCCACATGCCTAGATGCTCCAGCTGCCATCTTTGCCCTTGGCAATGTTCCTGGGGACCTGGCTCCCCTGGGTCACTGGCTGAGATGGCCCTGAGGTCCTCTCTGGGTGGCCATCCCGTAGGTACTCAATCTCCAGGATGCTGCCCTTCTAACATACTGTGGGTGAAGGCAACGGCACCCCAGTGACCCAGCTCAGAGAGCGGGTCATCCACTGTGGCCCCAGGACCTGCTGAGGACAGAGCCAGCCTGGCTGTGGCAGCGCTGGTCAGCGTTCACTCAGCCCAGGCTGCTGGTCGGCAGCAGTGGCTGCTTCCCTGAAGCCTCATCCCCTTGGCTTCTCATAAGAGAGCCTTCCCTCTCCGCCCCCAACCTTCTTCCCCCTAGGCTTGCAGCCTGACATCAGAGTGGGGAGGGGGGCTTCCAAGGTGGCCTCGGGCCATACCTGCTTACTGTCCTGGCTAGCAGTAGTTCCTGGGTGGCTGGAGTGTAGAGGCAGTGGCAGAGCCCTTCGGGCCTGGCCTTTCCCACCCACCCACCCCCACCTATCCCTGAGGCCTTGTCCCATCCTTCTGTGCCTCACACCCCTCTTCTGTTAAGATGTCCAACCTCACAGGATCGCCACGGAGATCAGACATGGTGCTCTGGTAGACACTCCCAACTGGGGGAGGTGCTAATGCAGGGAGTGGGCTTCACAACAGGGGGTGTGGCCAGCAGTCAGGGCGCTTGGTGGGAACATGTGTTAGGTGTCGCCAGCTCTGACGTGGGGCTTGCCCACTACCCATGAGGCAGTGTTGGAGGGTCTGTCGCTCTCTCTTGTTGGTCACCGGCAGCCAGTACTGACATGTCCAGTAGGTGGGAGGAGCAGCCTAGAGGCTTACTGCCTCAATCTGGGCTGAACAGAGCCTGCTTATGGTGTCTGGCCAAGCTGTGGACTGTTGCCTCCCAGTGGACAGCTCACCACACTGCGTATCAGGGGCTGGTGCAGCCAGAGCAACTAGACAAGCGGAACCAGGCCGGTGCTTAACCTGGTCAAGGGTCCCCTTCTAAAAAGCCAAGTGGCCCTGTGGGCGTAGAGGGTTATGTGGTGGGCAGCTTTCCACAAGGGTAGACTTCAAAGTGCACCAAGGAGGGAGAGGAGGCTTTCTGCACCAGTGCAGAGTTCACACCTCACAGCCACAGGGCAGTTTCAGTCAACCCTACAGGTCGCTGAGGAAAATGAGGCTGCCTGCCTTGTCAGGACTGCCCCTGCAACCCTGCAGTGCTGTCCAGGTGGAATGGAATTGATGGCGGATGCTCGGGTCTGTTGTCTTTTGTTTGCTGGGGCGGGGCAGGGCAGGGGGCAGTGTTACAGGGAAAGAATGGAATGATGGTCCCCTGGCTCACTATGTGCCAGCGCTGTTCTGGAAGCTTCCATTCCTGGTCTCATTTTCCGGGCTTCATAAGGGATCAGATAGACATAAAATCCCCCATTCCATCACACAGTTCCCGGGGAGGGGTTGAGCTGGAAGGGCACCCCCCATCCTCGTGAGTGCTGGGGCTTGGGAGCAGGTGGTCAGCTGTGAGGTCCGCCTTGTTTCTTAAGTTCTACTGAAAAACAAACGCCAAGGCTAAAACAGAGTAAACAAGATGTCCTTTATTTAAAATGTTTACTCCAAGAAATATATATATGTATATATATATATGTATATATATATATAAAAAAGACAGACAATTACAGCACTACACCAGGCACCTGCGACCAATCACAACCTCTTGGGTCCCCTTCTCTCTAAGCCTCTTCGTTCATACTCTCCTTCCTGAGCTGGAAGACATGGCAGACACCCCGAGGGTCAGCACAGCCAAGCCCCTTCGCAACCTGGCTCGCTCCATCCGCCCCCTTCCTGGAGTGTGCAAGGACCTCCCCCCACACTAGGGGACTCTGCTCCTTGTTCCTAAGTCAGGTAGAGTGACTGAAGGGAATGGTCCCTTCCTGACCCCAGCCCCTGCGGAGGGGGGTTCTGGAACAGTCTGGCCGCCACGCAGATCCACCCACTGCAGATCTAAGCCCCGGCTCGGCCTACGGTCCTCCTCCCTGCACACAGCCCTGGGCGCAGGCGGAGCACACAGGCAAGTAGATTAGGTCCCGAGCATGGAAGCTGGAGGCAGAGTGGGGACTGGGGCAATTTGGGCGCATTCGGTTAGCTGAGCAGAAGCTTTGAAGTGGCCGGAGCTTCTCCCCTGGACTACGGCTGGGACACAGGACCGCAGAGATGAGCACGGTGACTAAGCCCTATAGGGACGCAGGCCAATCTGGCTGAGGCCGGGGAACTGCACAGGGAGGGGGAGCGGGGCAAAGCAATGACGGCTGGTCATTTTTGGCATTTTAACATCCAGACAGTGACATAATAGCAAAAGCAAAAAAAAAAAAAAAAAAATCAGAGACTGGTATTGAACTTCCCCGTCCACCCAAGCCTCACACTTGAAGTCCCCTCCCTCCTCCCCATAAGCATCGCTAAATGGAACATCTACTTAAAGCACCCAAACCAGTCCAGACCCTTTGGCCGGCTGGAGGGAGCCAGGCCTCGGGCCAAGCAAGGAGGGTCCGGGAAAGGCACCTGGGAACTCAGCATAGCGGGGCAGCTGGGGACCAGTTCAGGCAGAGGGCACTGGGCAGGGCAGGCAGTCCCGGAGCCTGCACTGCGGTGCAGGGAGGGAAGGGAACTCTTCCGTCATCGACTATGTGGTACCAGAGTCCATTCATGCAGGGCCTCTGAGCAGGGCAGCGAGGCCCCTTGGGGGAGGAAGACGGCAGAAGCACGAAGTCGTTCAAGGCAGGCCCCTGGGAGGCCGCCCAGCAGGTCCCCGCGAGCTGCAG